TATTGCAATAAAACGGCAATTTCATACTTTAACCCCTAATATAACAAGCCGTTCAAGCTCTATGCAGGATATTCCTATAGTCCGCTCAATAGATAGGCTCACAATATCTGTACGTTCTTTAAATTTTAAATTATTTTTAATAAGAATTAAAGAGCCGCCATGAATAGCTTTTTCTCTGCTGAACGAACTAGCCACCTGGTGATTGTTGAAGCTAAACGTGAACTGATGTTTTGATAGTGAATTGAAGAAGAAGTGGTGTTCAGTAATACAAAGAATATCAATATTACTACTGTTAACAAATAATTCTATTTCTAACTCTTTGCCTTTCATGCCTTGAATATTTTGATGCACCAGGTTTAATATACAATTTATTTTATTTCTGTGTGTTTTAGGTTGGTTTTTTATTGTCATTGTGTTGCAAGAGTAGCCCTCCGTTGTCTTATTAATTAATTTAAATAATTAGAAATTGAATTATTTTCAACAGAATGATTATTGTCAATAAACTGACCTATGTCAACGGACTGCTCAATAGAAGCAGCCGGTCTGGTAGCCATTGATTTGGCTGAATTATTAAAATAATATGTTAGCAACTCTGCTATCTGTCTCCTAAATTAACTAATAAGATAATACCTATCTTTAGTCAAATAAAAATATTTACTAATAAAATTATTAGTATCCATAAAATGAAATTTACTATAATGAAATGTCAAGCTGTGTAATGTTTTATTTAAGTTATGCCTCAAATTATTTTCACTTGTTGTGAGGCTATTGCTGAAGGGAAAAGCTAACAAAATAATTTATTTTATATTAATTAAATTATTTAATTGTGAAAAATATTGTATTAAATCTTTTTTGTTACATTTTCCTCTTCTGCCAATTAAAATTATTAATGAAGTGTCTTTGTCAAATTTAGTTGATAAAATACTATCTAATATTTTACAGTATGTTGCATCTGGCATGCAAATATTTGTCAATTTTATTCCTAGGTGGTTAACTTAAGTTTTAATTTGTTAATTATGGTAAAAAATAATTAATTGGTAGGCTTAGGCCCACCGGCTTTCATTTACGTTGCCTATGTTAATTCGTGACCATGAACGGACTATATCCAACGTCTAATTTATGGATTCGAGAAATAAAAGCAATTACGCTGCAACTATAATTCAAACTGCCTCTGTGGCCGAACGGTTACCATACCGGACTGCCATGCAGAGGTCCTGGGTTCGATTCTCAGGCCGGGAGAAATATATGTATGGCCTACAATTATTCCTCTCGTGAGTTTAGGTGTAATTTGTGGTTGTCGATGTGTGTGTCCATGACGCCCGCGACACAGGGTTTCCCTAGTGCAGGGCTATGAGTGTATTGCGTTTATATTATGATAATGATGTAAGCCATACCTTGTAATGTGTAAAAACGTCAATGTGTGGCATGTAATCAAATTAATAACAAAAATACTTAAATAGATATGACGACATCTGTGGTCGTGTGGCTTGTACACCGGTTTTCATTGTGTTACCATCTCTGAGGTCCGGGGTTCCATCCCCGGCCGAGTCAGTGTAAAAAACTAACTTTTCTATATTGTCTTTGGCCTGAGTGTTAGTGGGGTGTGGTCGTTGTTTCCGATTTCCATAACACAACTGCTTTAGATCTTACTTTGTGATCAGAGCAGAACGTATATGATGTTGTCTAATATTTATTTTATTTGTTGTAACAGGGGGCCTACCACAACCTCATAAAACAATATTACTTTAACCTTATGTTGACTTTTCGTACCATGATACGCTTAAAGTAAGCTTATTATAATGTTAAAACTATGATCTTTTTCTGGCAGCTTTGTGACTTTGAGACTTTGACATTAAAGTATGTATGTATGCATGTATTTTCTTATGTCAAATTTAACAATCTTATAATAGTTACTCGGACGCAATGGAAATAATATTATTTTCGAATTTATTGTCTAAATATTGATTGGTGATGATTAAAAGTTAAGTTTAACTTATTTATTTACATAAATCTCTGCAATAATTTGTTTATTTAATAATACATATAGGAAAGTATCTAAATGAATTTTCACGCGATGTTTATTTCATGAAATTATTACAGCGACACTCACAACTTGACAATCAAGGCTCAGCTTGGTTTATTTATTTTTCTTCATGAAAATCCGGAAAAATAATTGAAAACAACGTAATTTTAATATATTTTATTATTACATATTTTTCTTTTTTTAACAGTTAAAATTCTCTGAATGTAAATAACATTAAGTACTTAAACATTATACTACGATAAGACGATTCGGATCATCAAAAAAGAAAGAGATGGCATTATATAGTTCATATAGCATTATTTCTTTCCTATTTTTAGTAAGGAATAGACAGTATTGGGAAATCATTCGTTCTTTCTATTACTTTAACAATAGCACATTACTTGGCTGACAGGTTTGTCAAGGTACTATTTTAATAAGCTTATTTTAAGCAGAATTTTATTATTCAAAATTGACAATGAACACTACAGCAACAGAAACATCAGGTGTATATAAAATAGGTACAGTTGACAGCACGCGAGGTGAACTGGCACGGGTCTAAATAGTATCTACTAACTTATCATTCCTAGATGACAATAACTATAAAAATCCATAACTTTAACAATCCTGCAAATACAGATATAACACTAATGATGATGTACTTGCGTGAGTCGGAAGTTGCCATTCTTGGATCTGGACGTCTTAAGGACATATCTGATAATGGCGACGAGTCACGTATTCGTGTATTTGTGTTTCTATACTGAACCACAATCTAAAACAGAAATTAAATAAAATCTTTTCATAATATATCATCTGTTATATATCTCTTATATATATAAGAGATATATAACAGATCTTTGGTAAAGGGTTGTCATGGAGTCGTTTGACATAAATATATATATATATATATATATATATATATATATATATATATATATAGGTGACTCGGAACTAGTAGAAGCGAAGCTGCAGAGCTTATCGGTATTCTACAGGACATATCACAGAGAGTGTGCGATGGAATTGCATAATTCGATTCCGCCTTCCCCTTTCCATCATTGGGAGACTAGACGTGGGTGGGAGTTCCACTCCTATGTTGTGGATATACCCCGGATTCGCACGAAGCGTTTCGCTTCCACATTTATATGGCAAGCGTCTAGGGAGTGGAATTCCCTGCCTGCAGACTTGTTCTCCGAAAACTATAACTTGGACCTTTTCAAGGCGAGAGTGAATACGCATTATTTAGGTGTGCATGCTACATCCTCGACCACATCGTCACTTTCCATCAGGTGAGATGGAGGTCAAATGCGCACTTATTTTTTATAAAAAAAAGGTCAAGGTTTTCTTCTAAGGATTTTACAGCGGAGGCCTGTTATATATCTCATAAATATCTCTTTGGTAAAGGGTTGTCATGGAGTTGTTTGACATATATACATTATTCAATAAAATATCGTAGCACATAAAGTATGTTTTGATGAATATATTACATCGTCAATAAAAGTTTCCCCTTTTTTTATTATACTTAGTGACGGGACGAACAAGTCGTGCGCCAGCGCCAGGTAGTAAATGTCACGCCTGTCCATAATGTCACCCTGAGACATAAGTTGAAAAGTTTCATGTGCCTGTAATTTCACCAGCACCCTTTTCCTTCAAATCCAGAACGTAGTAATGCTGCTTGGCTGCAAAAATGGGTAAGTACTACCCTGGACGAACTCTTTCACAAGGAGCTCTACTGCTCTCGATGCATCTACTTCAATAAATCAAGAATTAAAGCAAAAAAAAAAACATCTCAACTTCAGCGTAGTACGGTAATTATTTTCTGAGGATAAGTATTTGTTCAAATGACATGAACTGTATTTGTCATTTGAACCAGGGTTGATGCGAATATCCATATCCGCTCCAGCCTCCGCAATGATTGATGCTGATATACATTGCGAATATTTGCGTCGTGATATTAATTTACAAACCATCCAGAAACAGACTACAAGCCCAAAACAGCTCAGCCGTCGTTTTTACCTTTGAGAAAATGTGAGTACGATTATTTATTAACCTTGGTAGGCTGCGCGCCCAGTTACACGAGGCGAAAGATTTCGCGCGACCTGCAGCACGGCGACCGCCCTTCATGTACATGTACATTAATGGCGAATCTGAATTCTATTTATTAGGCAACATTTAAGTAAAGTCCTCTGAATAATACAACCGCGCGGCCCGCCGCGTAGACCAAATTCAAGCCAGACTTGCCCGCATGCCCGGGACGCTCGTACAAGTTAAAACGTAAAAGCTAAACAAATAGAGTGTATTTTGCCATAACAGTTAGACTCACGCGGTCGCTGCGCGGCGCCTGCCGCGGACTCCGCTCGGCGATCGCGCGGGATGAGCGCGATGAAATTTGTGTCGAATAAATGTTTTTTTATCACAAAAGCTTTTTCACGTAGATTCAATAAAGATCTTTTTTTTTTTAATACTTAGATCCGCTGATGTGTAAAAAACCTACACATCAGCAACCATCCTAATTTGAACACTGATTCGTGAATGCTAAGAAATGTGTCAAAATTTACTCTAAATTATGGATGAACTCGTGGAAAGTGAAGATACTTTTCTAAACAAATCTATTAATAGGTATGAAAACGACTAACTATAAATATTCCCATGAACAGTAAAAGGCTTGCGCCGCACGCCAAAAAATATCCTTCAATGAAAACATCCACGCACTCAGACGCCATCTCCGATATCAATAATCCAATGGGAATCAATATTTGACTCCATAGAGTTCCTGCAAACAGGGTCTGCACGTTTTTGAACGCCACAGCACGTTTTTCCCTTTCTGCTGAAGCAAGAATATTGCACCATAACAATGCTGCTGCTACTGTCATTAAAATACTGCATATGCGAAGACAAAAAGACAACACATGAAACATAGTTAACTTTAACTCTTATTTTTACTTTTTTGAAGCTAAAAAAACTGGGTATAATTCTGCCATCAAATATCATGTAAAACAGATGATGACTTGACTTTCATAATGACTCCATCGAATTCCGCGATGATTTTGCCAATGATCACTACAAATAAAAATTTATTTAAAATGCTGAATTACGAAGGTATTATTGTTTCCTTTCTTCTTCTTTTAAATGTTATGGCCCCATCGAAATAATCAATGATTTTGCCAATGTCAAGTAAAAATAACTATGTACGGTAGTTTAGTATTATTATAAAAATTATACAAAAAACGGCGATTTTGCCAATGTCCTGTAATATTTTTACTTTGATTGTTTCCTTTGTGCCGGCCACAAGACTTTGTGTCAGACGTAACAGAAGTCAATATGGTTGTTTATTTTTTAATTCTTTCCGTAAAGGAAAAGGCAAAGGTTTAAAACCATGCAGCCAAAATTTGGTGATTTTTTCTTTTCTTAGTTTTAGATAAATAGGCATACGACAAGTGTTCACTATTATTTATTTTGTAGGCATCTTAAGCCTCGTTTTCGGTGGATGACCCCACTCTTATATGAACTCAACATAAACAGTAGCTTTCATGAATTTTGTTCTTTTTCGAATACTGCCTCTTCCTTTCTTAAACTGAAAAAGACAAAGGCACTTGTGTGCCATACTACCCAGACAGAGAGTAATGTCTTTCTTAGATTTCGTTACAAATTTACAAGTCTTTGATACTAGTGTTCCTCACAAAATGAAATAAACCCGGATAGATACCATTCTGGATATTTCAGGAGAGAAAGAGCGATTCGTCCCAAAATACAATAGCAAAGACCTTTCATCCTTACAGTCTAGTTATTTTAAGTCTTTACCTTAAGTCAAGCTAGAGAACTTAAGGAAACTCCATGGAGACTCGCATTTAGAGCGAAACCTGAAAGTAAGCACTTTTCAGGTTCCAAAGAACCTAGGACTCAAAGACTTCAATCTAAATCTATAGACAAGAACATTCACAGAAACTATATGTGCCAAACAAAACACTATCAGTAGCGATCACAGATTTAGTGGGTACTAAATCTATGGTAGTGATACATTGACTTACAAATAAATGGACGACGGGTCTAATACAAAAACCACGAAAAAAATGTCCCAAGTCAACCTATTTAAACGCAGTGACATGTAAAGGATATGAAAAAGCTAAAACGTTGAATTTAAATTGTAATGTCAAAGCAGTACTGTCTAATTTTGCTTGCTTCGCTGTCAGTCGAACAAACGAAGACTAAAGCGTAAATGACGCTCTGTATACGATTTTAACGCCCTATTAGTTCGGACACTTTTTAGCGCGGACCCGACGTCCATATAATTGTAAGTCAATGTAGTGATAGTGTTCTAATTTAGTGTTGAATTTTGTCAAAGAGTAGTTAAGTATCAGTACCGTAGTACCACGGATAGACGCGACAGTCTATACCTGTTGGGAATGAGCTAGGCAGGCAGTTAATATTAAGATAGTATTATCGTCACTATGTAATAATACAGAACAAATCCAAAACAGATTAATTTCGTACCTGTGAAAGGTTATTCCCATTGTTGTACACAAGATGGCATTATTTATTTGTTTCCAAGAAAAGAACATACCAATTACTAAAAAGAAAAACCAAATAAAGTAAAACAAAAAAATTACAGTTGAATTATTGAAATGATTGATGTTATGTTGTATACTTTTCCTTCCGGAAAGGCAAAGATCTTTAGACCTGCCTTTTTTTTATATTTTTTAAATTTATATAGTTGTCATAGTAGGCAACTGTTTTAGCACATTATATATACTCTGTTATTATGTAGTCAGAACACTGTTGCTTATTAATCTATGATATTATGTTCTGCCTTGTTTTAACACGCGTCATTACATGCTTACGGAAACGAGATGGATAGTGTGAAATGTTGCTTAGTATTTCGTAATTATGAAATATTTACGAAATACTAAGCAACATTATTATTAATAATAACGCATAGAAACCTAGCCCGCACACGCTAAGTGAGGCAAGTTAGAGGGTTCCAAACGCGTCCCAGGAGCGCGCGGGCTGTTAGTGCTCAAGGTCATATTGCACCGCGAACAGCTCCAAAATTTTTTGCTAAAAATGACGAAATGTGCGGTAAATGGGTGTAAAAATACAACAGACAAACATAAAATAGACACTAACATCGCATTCCACAAGTAAGTAATGCGTTTCAACTCATATTTTTATGTAAATATTCACTAAAACAGAAAAATAATTTCGCGGCAACAAGATACGAAAGTGTTGCAAAGTAACGAATTTTTTTTCTCCCCATTTTGCTATTCTGTATCAAAATAATTATATTACGTAAATTTTAGCGGTGCCTGTAATTTAGATTTATTTGCGCATCTTGAACTAATATTTACTTTAATAAACATTAAATGTTTTCGTTAACTCCTGTAAGTGATTGGGACACTTAATTATTTTATAATACTTTTAACGGCTCTGCGTTCATGCTTTATTGAATAATTATTTATTTTAATTTTATTTGAATTGGAGCACATATTGCAACAAATTTACAGTACTTATATATTTGTTTCTACTATAGTGTTGGCACCACCAGTACAACTTTGATAGCTTATTATATGTCTTTCTTTTCGTAACTCAAGCGAAATATTTTATATTAAAATATTTTATTTTCTTAAAAGGGGAGCATTCTTAAGCGATTTTTTAATCTATTTTAACAGTTATTTTCTTTAATGTTTGCTTATGGCATTTTCGGTTTTAGGTTTCGAATATGGCACTTATTTCTAAATCCAAGATGCGGGCGCGATTTTTCGAATAATGGCAAGTTGGGTATCGTTTTCGAGATGTTTGGAAATGTTCAATACAAATATGGCACTCATTTCTAAATCCAAGATGGCAAACACGACAGTTCAAACAAAAGCAATATTCGTAATGAGCACCCCCAAATATCTCGAAAACGATACCCAACTTGCCATTATTTGAAAAATCGTGCCCGCCATCTTGGATTTACAAATAGTGCCATATTCACATTGAGCATCCCCAAATACCTCGAAAATGATACCCACATAGCATTTTTTTGAAAAAATCGTGCCCGCCATCTTGGATTTAGAAATGAGTGCCACATTCGTAATGAGCACCCCCAAGTACCTCGAAAATGATACCCATATTGCATTTATTTGAAAACTCGTGTCCGCCATCTTGGATTTAGAAATGAGTGCCATATTCGTAATGAGCATCCCCAAATACCTCGAAAATGATACCCATATTGCATTTTTTTGAAAAAATCGTGCCCGCCATCTTGGATTTAGAAATGAGTGCCATATTCGTAATGAGCACCCCCAAGTACCTCGAAAATGATACCCATATTGCATTTTTTTGAAAAATCGTGCCCGCCATCTTGGATGTAGAAATGAGTGCCATATTCGTCATGAGCATCCCCAAGTACCTCGAAAATGATACCCATATTGCATTTATTTCAAAACTCGTGTCCGCCATCTTGGATTTAGAAATGAGTGCCATATTCGTAATGAGCATCCCCAAATACCTCGAAAAGGATACCCATATAGCATATTTTGAAAAATCGTGTCCGCCATCTTGGATTTACAAATAAGTGCTATATTCGTTTTTCATCGACAAAACCGAGCACATCTGTAGGCACCTGATCGACAATGTCGGGCAAATCTGTAGGCACCTTTAACTTAATGATGAGTTAAGCAAGATACAATTTCCCCACTTTTGAGGGAAATGTTATTCCATGGCATCATTATTTGTATATTTGTGTGCGTGCCGACGAGCGTAGTTACAAGTTGCTTACGCCTACATGAATTTGGTTTTTGCCTCACTTGTGACAGTTCGTTTGATATGAAACTATCATTCTATGCGTTATTATTCTAAGTTTATAACTTACTTTCTCCAAAATTCCCCCGCCCCATTAACATAAACAACCTCTTAACTTTAGTGTTCTCCCCCCATATTGTTACTCTATGTAAATTTATCCACTTAAATAACATATATTTATAAATGTTGTTTTGCTGTTTTGTTTTACATTCTCAACTGAGTACTCCCGTAGTCCAACTTACCAACACCGGTTAATGTCCTATTAGAGCTTAGCGAAATTTTTTTTTTTGTTTCGTTTTTTTTTCTTTTAACTGTGACATTGGCAAAATCATCAGTCCTCATATTGATGGAGCCATAAAAATAAAAAGTGAAGTGAACTTCGGAGTCTTGTAAAAGTAAATCCTGGATATTCTCACAGGACGTTGGCGCAATCGCCATTTTTTTTTTGTACAATTTTTATAATAATATTAAACTAACGTACATAGTTATTTTTACTTGACATTGGCAAAATCATTGATTATTTCGATGGAGCCATAACATTTAAAAGAAGAAGAAAGAAAATCCTCTTCAAGCTGATGGCCCTTTGGGTTTACGTCTTGACAGAACACGGCAAAGATATACAGCTGCAATTAGATTATCAAACGCGATGGTCAAGCATATCCGATATGATCGAAGTGTTTTTAAAACTAAAAGACTCGGTCTTTATAGTTTTGGTAGATTTTAAACCTGAGATTTCCTTTTCCGAAGATGAAATATTAACTCTAACAGAGGTTTGTCATAGCTTGAATGTTGTAAAAGTTACTGTTCTGTCATTATGCCAACGTGATGCGACGATTTCCTCTAGGATAGGGCATTAAAGTTCATACTCAAAAAGCTTGGAAATACAGATGCCAAACGTCGTCGGCCTTATAGGATCATAATATCATCGGACGAGTTGGACATTGATCAAGGTAAGATTTTTTCTTACGCTCATAAATAATGAAAATAAAGAATTAAAATATTCATTTTTATCATATAGCACTACTTGCTACTTCCGCAATTATAATAAATGTTCGCTTTCATACATCGCAAATGTGAATTTAACCTACATTTAATAAAACATCGGGTTAACTGCCAGTTATCCTCGATAACCAAATAGAACATGGATGGATGAAAATCCGAACAGATATATTAATATCTGCATTTTACATGATTTATAATAAAACCGCCTCGGAGTTAACCGCGAGTTAAATACGGTAATGAAATCGACTGCGAGTTGATTTTAATTTCAACAGTATTAGTACCTACGTGCAATAAGCAAAGAATTTTTTAAATAAAATTACGTCGGGGTTAACTGCGAGTTAACCACGATAATGAAATCGACTGCGAGTCGATTTTAATTTGAACAATATCACTACCTACGTGGTAATAAGTAAATAATTTTTTAAATAAAATTACTTCGGGGTTAACTGCGAGTTAACCACGATAACGAAATCGACTGTGAGTCGATTTTAATTTGAATAACATTAGCTCCTACTTGCTGATATTATACAATAAGTAAAGATTTTTTTAAATAAAATTACGTCGGGGTTAACTGCGAGTTCACCACGATAATGAAATCGACTGCGAGTCGATTTTATTTGAAGTATATTAATACCTACGTAATAATAAGTAAAGTATTTTTTAAATAAATTTACGTCGGGGTTAACCGCGAGTTAACAACGATAACGAAAGCGACTGCGAGCCGATTTTAATTTAAATAGTATAAGTATTTACGTGCTAATTAGTAAACTATATTTTTTTAATAAAATTACGTCGGGGTTAACTGCGAGTTAGCCACGATAACGAAATCGACTGCGAGTCGATTTTCATTCGAACAATATTAGTACCTACGTGCTAATAAGTCAAGTATTTTTGTTAAATAAAATTACGTCGAGGTTAACTGCCAGTTAACCACGATAATGAAATCGACTGCAAGTCGATTTTAAGTTGAACAATATTAGAAACTACGTGCTAATAAGAAAAGTTAATTTTAAATAAATTTACGTCAGGGTTAACCGTGAGTTAACCGCGATAATGAAATCGACTACGAGCCGATTTTAATAATTATATTATTCTAAGAAAAGTATATTTAAAATAAAATTAATTTGGGGTTAACCATGAGTTAACTGCGATAGAAAATCAACTGCGAGTTATTTCAATTTAAATCCCACACACGTGCAATTAATAAGTGTTAACGGAACACGCCGTAGTTAAAACTCAATTACCTATTTAATAAAATTCTAAAGAAGATCGTTAATGGTTTTAGGCGACAGCCTCTTGCAAAACCAATATGCAGCTTCGCCAGCAATACCATTACGTAAACAGGTACCAACACCAGTCTGTAACACCAGTCTGTAATTTGTTTACCGCCAGACGACAATAGAAAAAATTGTATATCACAATTAAAAACTTAATTTACTTGGGAGCAATGACAAAGTGCTGTCCTAGAAAACATTTCTAGTACTGTTTTAGTGCCAAAACGCAACGGTAGTAGTCGTTTCATATTGAACATAACGTTCTTTAACAAATTTGTAACAAAAACTCATTTTAAAATGGAGGACTATCGAATTGCCGCAAAATTGATACCTCGCATTGAAAGAGGTGTATTCACTGATATCTATCTGCGAAGCAGACCGAAAGTACCACAGATTTCAGTATTTACCTTGTGGTTCGAATGAAATTGAAACCTATGAATTTACTGCTCTGACATACGGCTTGTCCACAGCATCGAAACTGTTTACCAAAATCATGAAAGAAGTTGTAACACATTTGAGACAACAAGGATTTAAGTTCGTGGTACATTTAGATGATATTTGTTGTATAGCAGCTGACTATGATGATACATCAATAATGTCCATGCTACCATTAACTTACTGCAATGTTTAGGCTTCATCGTTAATTACGGCAAGTCTGTGTTACAACCAAGTCAAGTTCGTACATTTCTAAGATTCAATTTTGATGTATGAAATTTAAGTATAAATTTACCTTTAGAAAAACATCAAAAAATTTACCACTTACTTTAAAAAATAATGAGGTTGCCCCGATGTGCCATACGGGAGTACGCTCAATTGATTGGTGTCCTCATCTCAGCTTGCCCAGCCACTAAATACGGTTGGTTATATACTAAATTACTGGAAATTCAGAAATTTCTAAGTCTCCAAAACATGACGGTAACTATGAAACAACAATTTATCTTCCAGATATAATTCTAAGTGATTTTAAGTTGGTGTACAGACAATATTTACTCGACTTCATCGTATATGAGAACCCCAAGTCTTAAATTAGAATTTATACAGATGCACCGCGCACCGGTCCGTATGTGGCGCGAGTAGCACAGGTGGCCAACGGAAGGCTGTTAAGACTTTTTTTGAGACAATTACTAAGAATTGCAGTATTCTTATATTATTTTTATAATTCTTTTTTATGTTTTGGGAAAGAAACAGTTTTTACTTTGTTTACAAGATTATAGTACTAAAAAATTTATTACTTAAACCATTGACTTACAATACTTAAACCATGAAAGTTTCCACTAATAAACATAACTTAAAAAAGAACGAAAAGCCACTTGTTATTTTTTTTTAACACAAAGAAAATAAGAAAGAGAAACATAAAAAGAAATAAACTAAAAAATAAATAACATAAATTATTGTTCATAAATGGACTTTATAAATTTTGAAAAGGACAAATAAAACATATCTACGTCTAAATGATTCTTATTGTACGCATTACAAGCTCTAAACAAGAAAGCGTTACTTAAATATTTAGTTTTACAAGTAGGCACACAAAAGACACTTTTCAAACTAGAATTAGAACTAGGACATCTCAAATTAATATTATGTAATAAAAAGGTAGAGTCTATCTTATTTCTCAAAATATTATATAGAAAGAGTTGGTCCTTCGCAGCGCGTCGTTTTTCCAGTGTTACTGTATCCTTATTAGCAAACGACGGATGCCTTTAATTTAATAGCTTCCTAAATTTATTCTGAATGTGCTCAATGATCAGAAATATAGATATTGTATTGAGGGTTCCAAACTGTAGATTCATATTCTAGAATAGACCGAACGCAACAATTATACAATAGAATTAAAGTTAAAGGATTACGAAAATCTCTGCTTGCCCTGGAGATAAAGTCAAGCATCCGATATGCCCTATTAATAACTTTATTATTATGGCCATCAAAAATCAACC